CGGCGGCGCGAACCGATTATTACTGCCTTGTGACGTCACGACCCAAAGAAACACGTTATCGATCGCGTCATGAATTTCACATTTTTTGGTATTTTCAATTGAAGATTTTGGACACCAGAGATAAGATATTACTTTTTTTTCCTAACTGCATCAGTTATTAGGATGTTTGTTATTGTGTTTTATTATTTATTCCATTTTTAATTTCATGTGCAAGTTCCCTATTGTTAGTGTAGGACTAGACCATTTCCCTTAAATAGAGTGAGTGTAAACCGAATTCGTGTGTCCATCCCTATCAACACTTTGCCGAATCCAGGCAGACGCCTGTCTGGCCATTCATTGTTTGACTGCCTTATTATCTTCTCAGGAAGGAGAGTGCTGAAAGGGTGAAGTTTCAGGAGAGAAATCCAGATAGGTAGAAAAATTCATTCAAAACGTTTTAGTTAAAACATCATGAGAATTTTGACAATTCCTAGATTTAATTTATTTCACCCTCAGCTTTATCTTGTAGTACCAATAGGTACCTTAACTTAAAAAATTAAAATTTATCTATTTGGGGAAAATCGAGAGATTTTTTTTTATCTTGTCCAATTTTTCCTACATTTTTTAAAAATTTTTGCCTGTTCAGCGCTACTGCCTAAAAAACAGCATTCTGCTCGCAATGTTAACGAGCATCTATTTTTAATCTTGCTGTACTTACTTACCTACTTCATTATTGTTTCTTTATTTTACATATTTGATTATTTTTTTTTAAATTATTTAATTGTTTTCCTATAAACCTTATAACTGTTGGACAGGAGTGTCTGCACAACAATAGTTTCATATTTAATTTCATTTCAAATTTTCTCTGCAAGATACTTTTTAACAGAATTCAGGAATCACACAAGCAATCTATCCTTGTTCCTGAATATAGGAAACAACCTGAAGAGCTCCGGATTGGAAAACGTACTTATCGTATCAGTATGACGAGAACAACCAAACTGTTAACTGTCAACTTGGAAAAAGTAACTTGTTACTACAGTATCACTTACATTGTGAAAATAAAATTATTGTTTGTTCGAATTTGAGTAGTTTCATTTGCACATAAAGGGGCTACACGTTTTCTTTATTTTCGAATTCCACGATCCTATAGCTTCTCTTGCCCCAAATTACAAATAAGTAGTTTATTTGTAACATGCTACAGGAGTTGAACAGTGCCGCAAAAAACTACGGCCTTCGAATGAACGGAGTAAAACCAAAAATATTGTCTAACTCCAATGATGTTACACATGTTGACCTTGAGAACAACAGTATAATTAAATTCGTAGACGAATACGTGCACCTTGGACAAAGAATATCGTTCGATAAGGACACTCAGAGAGCGGAGATAACCAGAAGAATTCAGCTTGGATCGACGGCATATGGAAAACTTGGTGATATCCCTAATTCCAAATTTCCAAAATATCTTAAAACATAAGTGTTTAACCAATGTGTCCTACCGACCTTAACGAACGCTGCAGGAACATGGAGCCTTAATGAAGGTACCATTGAATGTTTAGAAATTGCCCAAAGGAAAATGGAGATAAAAATGCTAGGAATTCGACTACAAGATCAAGAGACAAATGAATGGATTAGGCAAAAGACAAAAGTTATAGACATCGCAGAACGGGTGGCAAGACTAAAATGGAAATGGGCTGGACATCTATTGAGAACAGATGATAATAGATGGACCAAAAAGACAACTGAAAGGAGGCCCAGAGCAACTAAAAGGAACCCAGCAAGGCAAAGAACGAGGCGGGTACCCAATGGATGAGTCAGACGATCGACAGAAGTTAATGGCGACGGAATTGGAGAGGCTTATGTCCCAGAGATGGACCGAAAGACGCTGAAGATGATGAATTCTACATAATTTTCAGAAAATAATTCAAAAGTAAACTATAAAGTATAAAAATTATGGTTGAAATTTCAATATTTCTTTCAACTTCCCAAACCACTCGCTAAAGAAACTTTGAGTCGTGTAAAACACTTTCTGACATAAGTTCTAGAACACGTAACATTGTTTGAGATCTTACAGTAGGTATATGATACAGGTAAACATTCAGAAATTAAGGAATTTGACACTTTGATGTTCTAGAAAATAGGTAGGTATAGAAATTACCGAATTTGAGAGTTTGAGAAAAGTTTGAGAATTTGACAATGAGGATACAATAGGAAAATTACTGTTCTATCTTTGGAATACACTTGAATAAGTATCCAAACCTTTTATTGAGTCTTTCCCTCTTAAGAGTAAATTAATTTTATGTGGCGACTTTAACATAGATTTTTCCAGTGTGTGTGCTGCTCAAGATTCTCTCCAGTCTATACTTGACTCTTTTGGTATGGTCATGCATGTTCAATCTCCAACCCGAATAACTAAAACCAGATCTAGCACTATCGACTACGTCGTGTCATCTTTTGATCCAAGCTTTGTTGACTGTACTGTCTTAAGTTCAGGGTTTTCAGATCATGAAGCAGTACTCACAAACTTTTCTCTAAAGAGCAATAGCAGGATTGCCCCACGTAAGTTTCGCCGAATTTATTCGGAAAAAAATTTCCTCAATTTCAAGCGCTCATGTCAAACACTGGGGTTGCCTCTCTGATGACATCAATAATGCATTTTCAACATTTTCAAATAAATTATCTGGTTTGGCTTTCAAAGCATTTCCCCTCAGGCCTATCAAAAATAAGCAACATAAACCCTGGACTACTAAAGGCTTGAGGACATCGGCAAAGAACATGCGCTCATTGTCACACCTAAAAAAATTTTCAGACAGTCTCTTCTTTCAAAATTACGTTAAACTCTATAGAAAAATTTATCATAAAACTATAAAAGCCGCCAAAGACACCTATTATAACAACCGGTTCGCTAGAACTGAAAATATTGCCAAAGAAACGTGGTCTATTGTCAACGACTTGAGAAATAAGGCTATCTCTTCCAGTATAACCTCTACTTCCCCTGAGAACTTGAATAACTACTTTGTAAATGTGGCAAAAAATTTAATGACCACTATAGCTCCTTCTCGCGATCCGCTTTCATATCTTTCCAGTACCAATATGAATTTACACAGTTTCTTCCTAACACCCGTAGAAACACTAGAGCTTTTCAGCACAATTAAAGACATAAAAAACAAAGTGTCATCTGGGACTGATGGACTAACTTTAAAAATGTTCTTCAATTTACCGGAGTGTACATTAAATCTCCTCACTGCTTTAATAAATAAATCTTTTCAACAAGGAGTGTTCCCAGATTGCCTCAAGACGGCTATAATTATTCCTCTGCACAAGGGAGGTGATAAGGACCAAGAGTCGAACTATCGTCCAATTGCACTTCTTCCTACTTTATCCAAAATCATTGAAAGATTGGTTAAGAAAAGGCTTCTATCATTTCTGCATAAATATAATATACTAACTATCCACCAATTTGGATTTTTAACCAACAAATGCACTATTGATGCTATGTTCTCTGTCTTCAATAATGTCTTCTCTAGCTTGAACAATTTGCACTCCACAGCATCAATTTTCTGTGATTTTTCTAAAGCATTCGACTGTGTAAGTCATAATATCCTAATTAACAAATTGCAGCATTATGGAATTCGAGGCTCTCCTCTGGAATGGTTCAAGTCGTATCTTAACAACAGAAAACAGCTTGTGAGGGTTGATACGACGACGTCTTCATGCAAGCCAATAGAATGTGGAGTTCCACAGGGTTCCGTGTTGGGTCCAATATTATTTTTGCTGTTTATCAACGATATTGCTAGTCTAGACATCAGCGGTAAAATCTGTCTTTTTGCTGATGATACTAGTTTCACTTGGAGCAACCCGGATATTGTAGCTCTTCATAGAACCATGTCCATCGACTTGTTGGCTATTAAAACATGGTGCGACTCTAACTTCCTCTGCTTCAACGCTGCGAAAACAAAAGTTCTATCATATAGAAGTACGATGCAACCTATTGTACTTAATAACACTACTACTATTGACGTCGTTGATTCCGTAAAGTTTTTGGGCCTTATTATAGACAAATCCCTAAAATGGAATTCGCACATCGATTCTTTATCAAAAAAATTAAGTTCCGCTTGCTTTGCGATAAGATCAGTTTCCAAGGAACTCAACTTGTCAACTTCTAGAACAGTCTACTTTGCCCTTTTCGAATCACATCTTCGATACGCCCTTCCATTCTGGGGTTCGTGCTGTGCGACTCAATTTGACCGTATTTTTAAATTACAAAAGAGAGCTATTAGATATTCCCTAAAATTAAAAAATAGAGCTCATTGCCAAGATTTTTTCAAAAAATATAAAATATTAACACTTCCTTCCCTTTTCATACTAGAATCAGTCTGCCTTATCCGCAAACACCTACCCAGTATTTCAGAAAGGCCATTGCATAACTATCCACTTAGAAACGCGGAGCATGATCTTTATCTGCCAACTCCATCCTCCGAGTTAATTAAGAGCTCCATTCTATACAACGCAAAAAAAATGCACAATCATCTGCCAGTAGTCATCAAGTCCATAGCATCTCTTCCTAAATTTCGCATAGCTCTAAAATCCTATTTATCAGAGAGAGCCTTATATAAAGTAAATGACTTTTTTCTGACTTAATTTTGAGCGTTCCACACACTGGATCATAGTTTATAGGTAATTTGTTCATTTTTGTATTTGTTCATGTTATATTTGTTTATGTTTATATCATTTTATTTTGACTTTGTATACATGTAGATATAATATGTATTTTTAACTTTAAGGCTTAGTCTACAAATTATGTTATAATTTTTTTGACAATAAAGCATTATTATTATTATTATAGCTAAAAGCACTTATTGACAGCGATAGTTAAATAAGTAGTATTTCAAAATATGTAATTGAAAAAACTATAATATGATAAATTGCATTTTTCCTAAGAAACAAAACTTAACAACAACAACCTGATGTTTTTTTTTTTTTTTTAAGAATACCTTTACCTTTATCAGTAAATTATGTTGAGGCTTTTAGTGCTTTCTTATAATTAAGCAGTAGATAAATATATAAATACTCGTATAGGTAAATATAAATTTCAAGCAATTTTGCTTATTGTGCTATTTTGCTTTAAGTATAGCTAGAGTTGAAGCTTGACAGAAGCAGAAGCAGACGTTATGATAGGTAAGAAAACCTTCAAATCATTATACAGTGTGGCCCATCGAAAACAGTCCAGCAAGATTTATACGTATAAATTCAAAAAAGCCTTCGGACCCGTAAACTTTTGTTTTCAGGAGGACACGCTCCACTATTGGGAGTTTTTTGAAATTTGTTGGACTGTTTTCGATGGGCCACCTTCTATAACTAATATAAGCCAAATTCTTTCATTTTAGTATCTGCTTTGATATTTATTTCAACCATTATTCCCTCATTGTTGGGCAACGAATACGACTTTGAACTTCTTTACCAATGGAAGCAAATAGAATACAAATTTAACAGTGAAGAAGAGCGTTCAGAAGCAATACAAAATGGCACTTTCGATATTGGAAAAATCATGCCTATTGATGCCCAATACACATTTAATCAATATACTGACGAGGAGAGAATTTTCATAACAGCACCAAGATTAACAACGGGCGTGCCAGCTACCATTGGTGTGATTATAGATGAAACTAGAGACGGTAATCCGGTTATTGAACCGTATCCTTCTTGGTCTTGGCACGTAGAGCCAGAAAAATGCAAATATCATCGAATAATCTCAGTGTTTAGAATATGGGTTAGTAAGTTATTTTAGCTATGTAATTTTCAAAAGTAGAGGTATCCTTATTGATTGCGTTTCATCTCTACATAGCTCACTTAAAATGTATGGTTTCAGGCTTGTTTCTTCTTTTCTAGTGGGATGAATGTGATAGACTTTGGATATCAGACATTGGAGTTATAGGCGACGATTTTATATGTCCACCACAATTATTGCTGTTTGATTTAAAAACGGTAAGAACTTAATTGCTTTAATGGATATCTAATTTTCTTGTGTACCTAGGATGAACTTCTTCACAAGTATGAAATCCCTTACGACCAGTACAACAATATATCCTGGTTCAATGCTCCAATGGCGGAAGTTGAGTCCTATAACAACGAATGCGAAAATGCTTGGCTGTATATAGCAGACCCTAACGATTCTAAATTGTTAGTGTATAGTCTCAAACAAGACACATCTTGGAGTATACAAGATAAAAGTTTCGAGGCGGATCCAGAATATGTAAACTTTACTATAGATGGTAAACTTCTGATTTTAAAATTATTTATCCATTAAAGTGACTATTTTCAGGCGATTTTTTCAGCTATGCTGATGGAATAGTAAGTGTTGCACTCTCGCCTGCATCAGACCGCCCAGAAGTTAAAAAACTCTATTACCATGCACTGTCAAATAACAAAGAATCGTGGGTTTATGTTAAACATCTCAAAAATCGGGAAAATTTTGAAGTTCCTTATGGGGCGGCTGAACTTTTTCATGTAAGCATTTGATAATTATTTATTTACAATATTAAAAACTTATTGATATAGACCTACAAAGGTACAAGAGACCAACAATCAGTAACAGAAGCCGTAGACCAGGATGGATATCTTTATTTTTCGCTCCTGATTGATGTCTTGTTAGTAAAATGGGACACAAATACTCCATATAGACAAGAAAATTGGGAAATTATCAATGATGATTATGAAAGAATGCAGTTCCCAAGTGGATTGAAGGTATGAGAAAATAAGTTTCCCAAATTTATTCACCTAACAATTAAATTTCAGGTATTGCCTTATAGGGGAAATAAAAACCATGAAGTTCTTTGGGTTTTTTCAGTTGCATATCAAAGATATGAAGCTGGAACCTTATTTGGAAATCGTACCAACTTTAGATTATTTGCCGTGGACTTATAAATTAACAATAACAATTAGCTTGTATTTCATGAATTATTTGTGTATTTATTTTTGTCTAAATAAATTTACTTATTTGCGAAATCTCACTATGTTGTGTTGTGTGTGTATGTTTCTATATTTTAATAGATGAGTACAAATAAGGTAAACTTGGTCACCAATGGAAGCAAAGTACAAATTGAACAGTGAACAAGAGCATTCAGGAGAACTGATTTGATAGATTTGAGAGGGCAACTTTCAAGAAAGGTGCAGACCCGCTCAGGTCAGAATTGCTTTATTTCATCAGGTTATAGAAACTTGTACCCTAGGTAGGTATGGTAGTCTGCGACTGACGAGGGCGTCACATGAACACTATATACTATACTTGGCAGTTTCATCATTAGGTGAGTTCCAGCATCCAATCTATGAGCATCCCGATGAAAACTTTGACAGTTTTGACAGTTATCACGTGTTTAATTCATTTCAAATCAATTTAAAATCACGTGATAAAATATCTATATGCTTGCCAATTGATATTGGAACGCAAGGATTGTAGTGTTACTCTGAGGGTTGCAGCATTGCATGCAAGGGCAAAGAGCGCAGGGGGCAAGCACATCGGGGTCGACGACTGGCACAGAATCAGCGACGGAAAAGGCAGCCCGTGAAGCAAGGGAAACAGTCGAAGATGAGAAAGCTAAGGCCAAGCTGGTGTTGACAATAGGTCCGAGCCTTTATGTTCACATAAAAGGGGATAAAACGGCAATTGAAATGTGGACACAGTTAAAATCGATCTTTGACTATAGTGGGTTTAAAAGACGGATCAATTTGTTGGGAACACTGATGGATCAGGATATAAACCAGATTGTAGAAACGAGTCAGAGATTCAGGAGTACAGGCTTCAATATAGATGATAAATGGACAGGGTTTAAACTGTTAGCAGGTTTACTAGATAAGTTTATGCCCGGGATTATGACTATAGAGCATTCTGGAATAGCCATAACCACAGTCGCTATCAAGAGCAAGTTGACTGATATGGAAAGCGGAAAAAGAGTGGGGGGCAGTGAATTTTTCGTAAAAAAGAAAGCGGTAAGAAAGAGAAAGATTTGAGAAAGATACAGTGTTTTGGATGCAAAAAATTTGGAAACTACAAATCCAAATGTCCAAAGAAATCAAGTGATCAGAAATATCAAAAAAAATCAGACAGACAGTGCCTTCAGCGTAGTAGTTTTCATCCGAGAGTACAGAGAAATAGATTGGTTTGTTGACAGTGGCGCCAGTGTTCATTTGGTCTCAGACGAGAGTTTGATAGTACACACAAGACAGATTATGGTTGCAAACAAGTCGACAGTTCCTGTAGCTGGATGAGGTGACATTAGTATTTCAATAATTGTTGAAGACGCGAGTTACACGACATTGTAGTACAGATACAGTGCGCACTTTATATGTACCAAAGATCACAATAAATTTGTTATCGGTGAGTCAGCTTCTCAAAAGTGGAAAGAAAGTCATTTTTGATACAGTGTTGAAAGATTTACAACAAGAATGACAAGTTGGTAGCTATCGCTAACTTATTCAATGGTGTTTACAAGCTGAACTTGAAGTCAGAAACAGAGAGCTGTTTGATGGCAAGTGGAGTGTGCAGTGCAGAAACGTGGCACAAGAGATTGGGGCATCTGAATAGTGCATACCTAGAAAAAATGAAAAATGGTGCTGTAGATGGTTTAGAGTGTCCAGAAAAGATCAACATTGGCAAGTACAACTGTGAAACGTGTTATAAAGGAAAGCAACACAGATTTCATTTCCAAAGAATGGAAAAAGAGTGATTTACGCGGACCAATGGAAAACAAATCAATTGGAGGTTCGAGATACTTTTTGATTTTTGAAGATGACCCTTCAAGGTACCTATGCGTTTATTCACTTTCTATCGACAGATTAATTTTTGTTATTCCAGTGTTGATTGGGGTTTTCTGAATGAGGATGATTGTGATGATGTGAATGTGGTTGTTAGTTCCTTTTAAGACATCTTATATGACTTTGTTGATAGGTTTACTCCAATGTGTAGATTCAAAACACCTAAATTTCCTAAATGGATGGACAATGATCTCAAAAATATAATATTAAAAAAGAAAAAAGCTAATACTCAATTTAAGAGAAGTAATTTGTCAGATGACTAAATTCTTTTTTCTGATTTGAGAACGCAGTGTCGTGAATTATTAGAAGCCTCCCAGACAAAGTACATACAGTTTGGTGGTAGGCAGAGTTTCTGGAAATTTGTGAGATCAAAGAGGTGTGGCACTGAATATCGACAATGCATGGTTCTTAATGGTCATGAAAGTGATGATATGCAAGAGATATCCGAGTTGTTCAGCGGGCATTTTGCTTCTGTGTACACAAAGCATATTGAATCTCTTATTGATTTTTGGTGTGATAGCAAATCTGTGAATGTAATGGGTTTTCGGTAAAATGGATGATTAGAGAAAAAACTTGGGAGAGGGAACGGAGGGTAGAACGATTGCTTTCTTGGAAAACTGTTAATATGTTCTCTCTGCGGTTCTGTGTGAAATTTTCAACCTCTCAGTTTGTTCCGGTATTTTTCCCAAACAGTGGAAGAGATCATATGTGACACCTATTTATAAGGATGGAAATACGGCGGACATCGGGAACTACCGTGGAGTATCGAAGGTTTCACTGTTTTCGAAGGTTTTTAAGGCCTTAATAACGGCTAAGATTGCTCCACGCTCCACTCTTTTCACATATCTTCATTTCGGAACAGCATGGATTTCTTAAGGGTAGGTCAACCCTTCCAAACTTGTTGTCTTATGAGTACACCTTGTTGCATGCTTTCGAGAAGGGTATCAGGTGGATGCCATTTACACAGACTTCTCGAAGGCGTTCGACAGGGTGGATCAGATAATCCTTATAGGGAAGCTTTCTGCCCTTGAAATTGCGGGGACGCTACTTTTATGATTTTGGAGTTACTTGCGGGATAGGAGGCAGGCCGTCAAGATTGGGAATTATGTATCTTCAGAGAGGCAGGTCTCTTCGGACGTTCCACAGGGAGGGCATCTGTCTCCTTTTCTGTTCAACTGGTTTGCTAAATGATGTCAAGGAGGTTTTCAGTGGTTGATCGTTCTTAGCTTTTGCAGACGATCTGAAAATTTTAAAAGTAATCGAGTCTCTTAACTTAATGATTGTTTGTTGTTGCAGGGTGAGCCTGATAAATTTGCCTTGTGGTGTCGTTGTAATAATTTAATTTTAAATATTGGCAAATATAAAACTATAACGTTTGGAAGGTTGAAGCAGCCAATTGCATATTGTTATTCTCTTGAGTCAAATGAGTTAGAGAGAACAAACCTAGTGAAATATCTTGGCGTTTGGCTTGATAGTGAACTGACGCTCACAACTCATTTAGATATTATTGCTAACAGGGCTATGAAAATGCTGGGTTTCGGGTTACTTCCATACTTGAGTATGCCAGTTCAGTGTGGCAACCTTACTATGCAGTACATAAGGAAAAATTAGAAAGGGAACAGCGCAAATTCCTAAAAAGAATTGGGCCTAAACTTAATATTCCATATGAGGAGATAAATTGCAATGATATGATGTAACTGCTTAACTTGGCATCAATTAATTGGAAAGTAGGAGAAATTATTTTGAGGTCTGTAACATGCTCAAGATTGTTAATAATGTGATGGATGCACCGGAGCTCCTTGCTGCGGTTGATTTCCGCGTCTCTCCCTTCAATTCAAGAAATAAAATACTTTTCAATGAAGCATTCCATAGGACCAACTACGGCGTGAACTCTCCTGTGTCTAGAATGTGTAGGCTGACGAATGAGGTGATTGAAGGGAGTGATACTATTGATATTTTTAATGATAGATACAGTGTTTTCAGTAATAAAGTAAGGAAAATTATGTATTCATAACTGATAAGTTTGTGTTGTTCTAGTACTAGTAGTACTAGTAGTACGATTTTAGTTAGGAGTCAGGAGCCCTGACAATTTACTTCTTATTTTATTATACTTTGTAAATGCTATATGCCTGAATAAATATTTTGTTTTATTTTATTTAAGACAAAAGACGAAGTCACAGAATGTTTCAGAAACTTTAAGAATCTTGTAGAAAACCAGCAGATAGAAAGATAAAAATTCTTAGGAGTGACACAGTGCGAATTTGTCAATAAAGAAATAGAAAGTATTTTGAAGAAAAGTGGAATCATTCACCAAAGAACAAACGCATATTGTCCGTCGTTTTTGATCTGACACTTTCCGTATGAGGAGCGAGGGGGAAAAGCATATGGCAAAAGCAGGTGTGACGTCAGGTGACCATTGGCGTTCTAACGTAGGGTTCCACCAGCTCATTCCTTTGGACTATCAGATTAAAATCGACGGACTGTACACACCGCAACAAAATGGGGTTTCTGAGATACTCAATAGGTAGGACACTAGTAGAAAGAGCAAAATGTCTACTATTCGATGCAAACTTGGAAAAGTGGTTTTGGGCTGAGGCAGTCCATACCGCAGTTTATATCAGAAACAGATCCCCAGCATCACAATTAAATAATAAGACGCCATTTGAGATTTGCCACAAGCAAAAACCAAGGGTTGCTCACGTCAGAAATTTTGGCATCACAGTAATGGTGAATGTACCCAAAGAAAAGCGCTTGAAGTGGGACAAGGAAGCTGAGAAAAAATTCTGGTAGGCTACCATGAAAACCTGAAAGGATACCGAGTGTATGATCCCAAAAGTAATTCAGTCCAGTGTGAGCAGAGATGTCAAAAGTAATGTCACAAGTGGAAGCAATGACATGAAACTTGAAATATTAGAAGTGGTCATATAGTACGGGATACGAGGCCTATTTCATCAAATCATTTTACACCGTCTTGCATTGTTATCATCAGTTAGATAACATGATGCTGAAACGCACTTGTGCAGGGAAATAGATGGGAGTGGGGGATTTCGCTGAAAAAAATGTTTCAGAAAATGTCGTCATAAACGAGGAAAATATTATAATTATACACCGTCTTGCATTTATTTATTGAGTTAATTTGTACACAAACAAAATTGGATTAACACATGCAAGACGTTTTCATGGGGATTTAAGGTTGCAATAGAAGATGGAAATTGTCAATTTATGAGTGGGG